GAGCGTGGGAGGCTATGGGCGCACTGACCCGCTATTAATAAGCCGTTTTAACTCAGTGGTTAGTGACTGAACTCTGACATGCTATCAGAGCGTTGGTGACTCAAGTTCAATTCCCAGTGCTAGCGCTGCAGAGGCGCTCGTGTCCTCCGCCTATCCCAGCGAGGGGTGGTGTCGAGAGACCCGCTGGGGTTACCCTTGAGAAGATCCTCGGGGAAGGGCCACAGGTGCAGAGCCTAGGGGGCCATGGGCGCACTGTCCCCGCTATTAATAAGCCCTTTTAACTCAATGGTTAGTGACTGAGTTCTGACACCCGGTGCACCTGGCTCGATGAACTGTATATACCGAGGATTCGTTCTGCGACATTGTTGGGATTGATAGGGATGAGGCCGGCCGCTGTTATGTGGGCTGTTGGGATGATAAAGCATTTGGTCCAGTTAGTGTATTCACCTGACATCGCTGCGAAGGATAGGAGCGCGGTGGTGGCCGTTTGAAGTTCGAGATTAGAATTGAGAAAAATGGTAACGTCGTCTGCATAGCAAGCCATAAGCCTGCGTTGCTATCGTGAGAGAGCAAAGCCGGTGAGGTGGAGTGACATGTAGTGTTGGAAGATCTAAATGGCGCAAATGAACAGGAGGGGGGCCAGCGGACAACCTTGGCGCACCCCGGCGAACAGGGAATATGGGAACAGGGAATATGAGATGCGAGTGGTGGTGTTGGACTGCATTAGCCGGACCCAGTTAATGAAGGGGTGAGGGATTCCAAGATGGGCGAGACAAGCCAGAAGAAAGGGTCGGTCGATCATATCATAAGCTTCACAGATATCAACCGTGAGGGCGAGGAGTGATATGTGGCGGGTTGTGGCCCAGTCCATGATATCCAACGAGTCGTTGATTGTGTCGCCGATCTTGCGGGATTTTATGAAGGCCGTTTGAGATGGGTGAATTATCTTGGGGAGGATGTCTTGGAGCCTGTTGGCTAAACATATGACAAGAATCTTGTAATCGGCATTCATTAGGGTGATGGGGTGGAGATTGTCGACTACAGTCGAGTCGCCTTTTTTAGGGATGAGCATGGTGCATCCTGATAACATGGAAGGGGGGAGTGCATTGGAATGGGTTGTCGCGGGGAAGAGATTGAAAAGGGTCGGAATTCCGTCCGGTCCTGGGGTCTTACCGCGTGCGAGGGCGGTGATGCTTCTGTCAATCTCGAGCATGGAGAAGGGGGCGGCCAGGCGGCCGAGGCTGATTGGACAGAGCTGCGACGGGGGAATGTGCTGCCAGAAAGTGTTGTCCTGGCGGATGGAGGTGGCTCCACTGTAGAGGGATTGAAAAAGGTGGTCCAGAGGCCGTCCATGTCGGCCCGGTTGGAGGTCATGGCTCCCGAGGCGAGCTGGAGCAACGGGATGTGTGCGGCTTTGCGTCGGGTGTTAACATCGGCGAGAAGGGAGGATATTCCCATTTCCCTATGTCCGTCCACCTTTATTTTAGCCTTTAGCGCGAGCTCTGCAGCGCGCGAGGCTTCATAGGTTTCAAACTGTTGGGTAAGTTTAGCAAGGAGGGCTGCTTGTGATGGGTTGGCGAGCGGGGAGGCTTGGAGTTGGAGATGTCATATTCGGTTCTGGAGTAGGGTTGTGGTTTTGGCGATGCGCCGCCGTTCCTGGCTTGCATATTGTTTGAGCTGATTACTGAGATTGAGCTTCCATGAGTCCCACTCGGCGGGAGAGGGGGCCGAGGGGATTCTACGACAAGCAGCGGTAGCGATCTGGGGGGTGAATGGTCGCTTGAGTAGGGACGTGCTGAGCCTCCAAGGTCTCGGGGCCATGGTGCGATTGAGAAAACCGAGTTCGCATGACGGACCACGTGCGTGGTCAGAGACGACCAAGGGGATGAGGGCATACGCGACGGAGGAAATGTGGCCATGAAGAGGGGAGGAACGATACAGGCGGTCGATGTAGAATGATGAGATTGGCGTCGAGGGGTGTGTGAGCCGTGGGCGGCCGAAGTAAGAGAATAAAGTATTGTCGGGATGGAGGGATCGGAAGGAGTCTTCAAGATCATGTCTCTGCATGAGTGCGTGTAGTTGGTTCAACTCGGATACTTCATGCCCGTGGAGTGGTCGGTTTCTATCACAGGCCAAGTCGACTGCGTTGAAGTCACCAGCAAGCAGCGTACCAATGCATGCACAGGGAGTTGTTAGAGCCAAGTCGCGTACGGTGTTCCAGCATATGCGACGATCTGTAGCTGCCAGCGGGGTGTAGATGGCTAGAAGGCGGATTTACTCATGCAGATAATCTAGATGAATCATGAGGAGCCGACTGTATGCGGAGTGTGAGTGATTGGAAATGGAGGCCAGTTTGTTGAAAACGAGGATGGCGACCCCCCCGGGGAGGTTGCGGGCGGGGGAAGGAGCGGGGACTTGGACGTGGGAGGTGGGACGGAGTTTGTTTATTAGAGTTGTGAAGTTTAGGGCGAGCCCAGTGTCTACTAGGATGAGCACGTCAATTTTTCTAAGGAGTGCGGTGACCCAGCACTTAAGTGCATCCATTTTATACATTTGGTTGAGTCCATTTACGTTTAGGCATAATGTACGAAGTGTGCTAATAATTCCAAGGAAAAGAGAACCCCCACAGGCCTATGCACGTGCATCCAGGGGGGTGAGATATCGGGGGGAGCCTGGCCAGACGGCCTAACCTTTCATTATCATAGTAGGATTGAACATGCAGAGCACAGGTGAACAATGAACAGGTAGGCATGCAATTGTAGCTAGCGGAGTGTGGGCTAAGCATGGGGTCTGACAGGCTAACGAGGAAAGCTACTTCAGGAAAGCAGCAATCGGTGGGGTCTGGAGGAGGGTGAGAGCACTCCAAGAGACGAACTTTTCCTTGGCTGTTGGGAGGAGCGCAGATTCGCGCATGCGTGCTGTATGGGTGGGGGAGTTCATGTGGGCCATGGCGCTGTCGAGCGCGGGCCCACAAGCGAACTCGCACAACGTGCAATTCCACTCTTCGAGTTGCGCATCGACGCCGATGTAGAGGACGTCGAGATCGTTATTGAAGGCCTTAGGTGCGGCATGCGCGCCGAGGATTTTGCCTTGGGAACAGGAGATAGGAGGGGCTCGTATGGGGAGGTAAAAGGGCTCGATCTCGGGACAGAGGGGCCCGGTAGATGAGGTGGGTGGGGGGGGAACCTGAGTTCTGGCCACGCGGCTGGGAGGGGGGGAGGCAGCACTGAGCTGGTGGGGCCAGGGAGGGTGGAGAAGGGCCATCCAAGGTGGGTCTGCCCGCGGTGGGACTCATGGGGAGCGGGGGAGCTGGGTGCGCCAGGGGCGGCACGGGGGGCGGAGGGGAGAGGAAAGGACGAGAGAGGAGAGGCAGGAGGGCACGGGCCCACTCATGGGATAGGTCGGTGGAGGGGGGGGGAGGGCATAGATTGTGGTCGGGCGGCTAGGGGGAGAGATGGCGAAAAAGGATGTGAGGGGCATGGGATGAGGGGGTTGGGTCGTCTGAGGGAGCATCGCGGGTTGTGGTGTGCAAGGAGGGCGGGGTAGCCGCGCCTGCATTGGGCAACAGGGGGGGGGGTGGTTTGGGGGGGGCGCACAGGGGGGAAGGGTTGTGCGGGAGGCCCAAACCAGGGGGGGTGGGGGGCTGCAGGGGGAATGTGGAGGGGGGCCAGAGGTTTTGGGTGTGCGACCTTGGGGGGGCGGACAGCAAGAGGCGAGGGAGGCGGGGGATGGTGGGGGATGGCGGTCAGGGCAAGGACAAAGGGGGGCGAGTGGCGTGGCGGACGGGGTAGCCGAGCCCACATGAGGCGGCCAAGGGGGAAGGGGGGTGGGGGACGGGTAGGGGAGGAGAGAGAAAAGGGAAGCCTGGGTCCAAGTGGCTGGACCAGGGGGGTGTGGGGGGGGGGGGGGCAGAGAGTTTGGGCGTATGGCAGAGAGGGTGGGGGGAGACGCAGGGGGTGGGTTGTGTAGGGGTGGATGATTGTCGGCCAGGGGAAAAACGGCCAGAGGCGAATGTCGAAGTGGGTGGGGTAGCGCGGTCCATCTGAGGCGGCAAAGGGGGAGTGGAGGAAGGGGGCGGGCATGGGAGGAGAGTTGGGAGGGACGCTAGAACCCGCTGGGTCTGGCCATGGGAGTGATGGTGGGGAGAAGTCGGGGCCATTGGAGTGCAATCCAGTTTAGATGCTGTAGTTGATGGTTAGCATGTTAAGGTTTGTAATCGTTTAACGGTGTGCAAACAAAATGCAAGGGATGCCACAGGTTCCTGCTACGCCTATGGAAGGTGTGGATCGGGGGGGGGGAGGGGGAAGGGGGGGCATAATGACCCTCACTTATGACAAGCTCTTCATATACCTTCTGCAGCATTGCACATGCTTTGGCTTGGACATTGAACTGAAACCCTTCAGGCAGGAGAAGCGGGGGAATGAGGGGCGGGCGGGGGGCGGCGGTGGGTTGGTGGAGTAGAACCAGCCGGGTGACGCCTCTGCAGTGCGGCTTGCAATTTGGGGCACGTGAACATGTCAGACACAACACAAGTGAGATAGCTGTCAAAGTTGTTGTAGGTTGAGGACGATTGAATTTTGCTTGAATCCTGATAGCATTAGTGAAGCAAAGGGAGATCAAAATGAGGCCAAAGCAGGCCAAAACCAGTGCCCCGAGTGAGGATCGAACTCACGACCTTAGGATGGCTCCCGCCTCGGTTTCGAGGAGTCGGTTTGCTATGAGACCTACGCGCTACCGACTGCGCCATCGAGGCATATTTCACTGCATCATCAAAATAAACTATAAACATTTTAAATTTGCTTGCAAAACGTACCCCAGCAAACCGTTTTACGCCGTAAGCAAATGTTTTTGGAACGTAATAAACCTTACTCAACCGCTTTCTGACGTACGCTTGGGACAAGCCCTTGTATTATCTGTACCATAACTTGACAGCGCAGCTACTCCTCAATCATTCAGACGCGCGTCGGGCTGACGCCACTATAGCGGGCGGGCGGGCGGGCGGTGGCGGGGCGGCGGATAGTAGCTATGGTGACTTGATTCCGTCCCCTCGCGTTCGAATGTTCAACCCCGAAGCCCTTAGCAGCAGTTTCTGGGCGCCTGACCACTGCAGGATTCCGGGTCCATTAGCCACTAGGGTTAGAAGTGGTCATGGCTTCGCCTGACGTCATCAGAGGGGCGCGCGGCGGGAAATGACGGCTTGATTTTGTCCCGTCGTTTGGCCATTCGCCCGTAGCAACAGCACGAGGCACCTGTAGCAATGGCTCGGCCTGACGTCACTAGTAGGGCGGCTCGGGCTGACGTCACTAATAGAGCGGCTCGGGCTGACGTCACCACTAGCGACGTTTCTAGTGGTAGTAGTAGAGCGGCAGCGGCGGGCGGCGGGAGATGGCGTGGGCGGATAGCAGCGCTGGCGTATCTCGCGGCATTCGCGCTGGCCATCGGCGTGAACGTGGGCCCCTTTTTCCGCCGATCCAAACCGCAGGAGCTCCTCGCTCCGACAGCCCCTGCGACCCCTGCTTCCTCAATCTCACCTCGTGACGGACTCTCGCCCGTGGCGCTCCAAGGGATGAGCGACGCCGGAGCGATTGCCCCCACAAGCGATGCTGCCGCTGCTGCTGCTGCTGCCGCTGCTGGTGCTGGTGATGGCGGTGGTGTTGATAGTGGTATTGACCGCGTAGGCTCCCCCCCTCCTCCCCCTTCAACTCCCCTTTATCCTCCGCCTTCCCCTCCGCCTTCCCCTCCCCCGCCCTCCCCACCTCCGCGTTCTCCTCCGCCTCCTTCCCCTCCCCTCTTTCCTCCTCCCAGCCCCCCTCTTTCTCCTTCTCCTCCTCCTCCGCTTCCTCTCAAAGAGGCAGCAGCAGCAGCAGCCGCACCACCACCACCACCACCACCAGCTGCACCAGCAGCAGAAGCAGCAGCAGCAGCAGCAGCAGCAGTAGCAGTTGTTCCACACTCCTCCTCCTCTCCTTCCGTTTCAACTGCTGACGTGGCAGGAGCCCCTCCCTCTCCGGTCGTTTCGGCTGCTGACCTGGCAGCGGACGCCGAGGAAGGACAGGATAGTCTGCTAGTGGGGCTGACTATAGTGAATACCTCCGCTGATCCTGGTGCAGGTACTACAAACGGGTGTTTCCATAGCGGGGATGACTATAGTGAATGCTCCCACTGATCCCACAGGGCAGGCTGGTAGTAGAGGTGATGACTATAGAGACACTATGCCAATGCTGCAGAGGAAGTGCAGGAAAGTCTACTAGCGGGGATGACTATAGTGAATGCTCCCACTGATCCCGCAGCGCAGTTTGGTAGTAGAGGGATAACCCCGAAGGATCAGTGGGAGGGTAGGGTAGACTCTCCTGCCCTTCCTCCCCCAATGCTAAAGGTGCGGAGGAAGGGCAGGAGAGTCTACTAGTGGGAATGACTATAGTGAATACCCCCGATGATCCCAGTACAGGTGCACAGGTGCATGGATGGAGCCAGTAAAAGGAATGCCTACTAATGGGGCTGACTATAGTGAATGCCACTGGTGATCCCGGTGCAGGTATTTTGGGTTGATGTGTCCACGGATGGAGAAAAGATAAGAAGAAAGAAAAGTGTGAATAAGATTCTGAGATTAGTTCTGCACCCTCCATTGCTCCCTGCACTCTGCTTGGACGGCTTGCCTCCGCCCTGTGTAGAGAGATTTGTCCTCTCTACTGCTACCATTCCTGTTGCCAGTCTCACAGGACTCTGATTTTGCAGGGTGTTTTTGAGAATTCTCAAAAACACTCTACTGCTACCATTCCTGTTGCCAGTCTCACAGGACTCTGTCAGACTGCAGAGAATCTCCATAGAATCTCCATGGCGCTGTTCACCACATGCTCTCTGCACTGCACTCCCGACCGCCCTGCAGTTTGTTTGAACAGCTCGCCTCCTGCCTTCAACTTGTTCATCCCACACCCAACGAACGACCCATGTCTGAAACGTATTGCAGAACCTGTTGTAAAGCCCGTTGCAAGACGCACGCCCTTTGCTCTGTTCACTCCCCACCGCCCTCAGTCTGCTTGGACGGCTCGCCTCCAGCCTTCAACCTTCATGCTGGGAGGGGCACGGGAAGGAACAAGTGGATCCTCTACCTCGAGGTGGGTGGGGTGCGGTTTAGGGTGGTGTCATGTGGTGCAGTGCGGTACTGTGCGGTGGAGATGTTTCTTCCGGCCTTCAACTTCCACCCTGGGAGGAGCAGGGGAAGGAACAAGTGGATCCTCTACCTCGAGGTGGGTGGGGTGCGGTGTAGAGTAGTGAGTGGTGCATTGTGGTACTGTGTGGTTGAGTCTTTCCTCCAGCCTTCAACTTCCATATGGTGGGAGGGGCAGGGGAAGGAACAAGCTGATCCTTTTCCTTGAGGTGGGTGCTACGGAGAGTGGTGATGTGTGGTCCGGTGCGGTATTGTGCGGTAGAATGTCCCCTCCAGCCTTCAGCTTCCATGCTGGGGAGGGGCACAGGAAGGAACAAGTGGATTCGAGGTGGGTGGGGTGCGGTGCGGTGTAGAGTGGTGATTGGTGCAGTGATGTGTGGACCGTCCGTCCATGTGTCAACAATATCACAGGGGAAGGGAGGGGCATGGTGTGAGGATACCCGGCCCGTTGCATGCCTTCACACGTGTGTGCATAAGTATTCTGAGTCGACTCAAAAGACACCAAGGGCAGTGATGTGGGATGGTTTTATTTGTCAGCATTATCACAGGGAGGGGCATGGTGCGAAATACACGGCTTGTTGCATGCCTTCACACGTGTGTCCATTCATACCCCAGTGTGCATGGATCCATGCACTTTCTCTGCCCGTACATCTGTCTGTCTGTCCGTTCACCCACCCACCCATGCATGCATGCCGTGCCGGGAGGAACATGGTGTGAGGGTGCAGCGCATTGCTTGAACAGGAGCTTCTCCTTGCATCCATGCATCCATGCATCCATGCATCCATGCATCCATGCATCCATGCATCCATGCATCCATGCATCCATGCTTCCATGCATCCATCACTACCACACACAGGGAGGAGCATGGTGCGAGGATTCGTCTAGCTGCCTGGACAGGAAATTCTCCTATTTTTGCTTTCCCCTAAAGCCTCAACCCTGAACCCCCATCCACGTGTGTACACCATCGCAGGGCGGAGCATGGTGCGAGGATTCGTCTAGCCGCCTGGACAGGAGATTCTCTTTGTGTCCGTGTGTCCATGTGTCCGTGTGTCCGTGTGTCCATGTGTCCATGTGTCCGTGTGTCCGTGTGTTCGTGTGTCCATGTGTCCACGTGTCCATGTGTCCGGTTGTCCGCGTGTCCGTGAGTCCGTGTGTCCGTGTGTGTCCGCGTGTGTCCGCGTGTCTGGGTGTCCGTGTGTCCGTGTGTCCGTGTGTCCTTGTGTCCCTGTGTCCGTGTGTCCGTGTGTCCGTGTGTCCGTGTGTCCGTGTGTCCGTGTGTCCGTGTGTCCGTGTGTCCATGTGTCCGTGTGTCCGTGTGTCCGTGTGTCCATGTGTCCATTTGTCCATGTGTCCGTGTGTCCGTGTGTCCGTGAGTCCGTGTGTCCATGTGTCCGCGTGTGTCCTTGTGTCCGGGTGTCCGTGTGTCCGTGTGTCCGCGTGTCCATGTGTCCATGTGTCCTTGTGTCCGTGTGTCCGTGTGTCCATGTGTCCGTGTGTCCGTGAGTCCGTGTGTCCGTGTGTGTCCGCGTGTGTCCGCGTGTCCGGGTGTCCGTGTGTCCGTGTGTCCGTGTGTCCGTGTGTCCATGTTTCCATGTGTCCACGCTCGGTCTTGCAGGGAGGAGCATGGTGCGAGGATTCGTCTAGCTGCCTGGACAGGAAATTCTCCAACTTCGGCACATCCACTCAGATGGGTGGCTGGATGCTGCAAGGCATGCTGTCGTCCAACCGCAACACAAACCCCGGTGAGTGCTCTTTCCCCCCATCCCTCCCTCCCTGGTCTGGTCATTTCTAAATCCCCCCCCCTCCCTCCTCCGCTCAAATGGGTGGCTGGATGCTGCATACAAGCAAGGCATGCTGCCACCCAGGCTCAAAACTAACCCTGCTGAACCTTGGATCCGCCAATCTCACTCTGGTTTCTCTATTTCTGAATCTATTCCCCTTCTCCCTCGTTGACTGAATGCCATGCTTTTCCGCTGTTCGTTTCTCACTCGCAAGCCCCTTCGCCCCCTCAGACTTCCTTACTTGGAGCGTTGTCTACATCAGTTATTGCCACAGAGCTTAATCCTTGGCCTCTAACCTCTCCTGGGAGGGCCCCCATCCCCGTTTTCCTGTGTTATGTTGTGTTATGTTGTGTTATGTTGTGTTATGTTGTGTTATGTTGTGTTATGTTGTGTTATGCTTTCCGGGACCCACTCCCAGATTTCTTCAACTGGAACCTTGTCTAATCCTCTACTGCCACAGTGCTTCCTACATCCGCAACTTCCCATGCTCCCAATCCATCGCTCCCCCTCCCATGCTCCCAATCCATCGCTCCCCCTCCCATGCTCCCAATCCATCGCTCCCCCTCCCATGCTCCCTATCCATCGCTCCCCCTCCCATGCTCCCAATCCATCGCTCCCCCTCCCATGCTCCCAATCCATCGCTCCCCCTCCCATGCTCCCAATCCATCGCCCCCCCTCCCATGCTCCCAATCCATCGCTCCCCCTCCCATGCTCCCAATCCATCGCTCCCCCTCCCATGCTCCCAATCCATCGCTCCCCCTCCCAATCTCAATCCATCGCTCCCCCTCCCAATCTCAATCCATCACTCCCCCTCCCAATCTCAATCCATCACTCCCCCTCCCAATCTCAATCCAGCACTCCCCCTCCCAATCTCAATCCATCGCTCCCCCTCCCAATCTCAATCCATCACCCCCCCTCCCAATCTCAATTCATCACTCCCCCTCCCAATCTCAATTCATCACTCCCCCTCCCAATCCCAATCCACCAGTCCGTGTCCCCTTCCCAGACTTCTTCAACTGGAACCTTGTCTACATCCGAAACTGCGGCAGTGCTTCTTTCATCGACAGTGCTTCTAACACAACCTCTCCCGTATGCGTATCCGTGCTTCCCCGTGTCTCCCACCCATCCCATCTCTCCCTTTTTCTCTCTCTTCCCCCTTTCTCTGCTCCCCCCCAGACTTCTTCAACTGGAACCTTGTCTACATCCACTTCTGCGACGGTGCTTCCTTCCCCAACCCTTAGCAATATCCCCCTCACTCTGCTCCCCCCCTCCCCTCCCAGACTTCTTCAACTGGAACCTTGTCTACATTCGTTACTGCGACGGGGCTTCTTTCATCGGCAACGTCGATGAGCCGATGAAGGACCATGTAAGCAAATGATTGTTTTCGTATGCCAGTAGGCCACTAACTTCTCCCCAACATGCCGGAAGGCTAGTCGCCAGGGAGGGTGCTTCTTTCATTGGCAACGTTGACGAGCCGATGAAGGACCATGTAAGTAAATGATTGATAAATGTCATTTTCTAGGCACCTTTGCTGACATGCCTGATCCACCCACTCCACTGATGCTGCCATGCGTGACCCACTCGCTCCACTGCTGCCATGCCTGGCCCACTCACCAGTCAATCCCCCCTTTCATCCCCCCCCCCACCCCTCCTACCTGCAGGCAGGCAAGCCGCAGCTGTACCAACGTGGGCTGCGCGTTCTCAACTCGATAGTGTCACATCTCCTAGCCCACATCCTCCTCTCCGGCTGCTCTGCTGTTCTCCCTCCCCCCATCGCACCTCCAGGAGGGCAAGCCGCAGCTGTACCAACGTGGGCTGCGGGTCTTCACTGCCATAGTGTCACACCTCCAAACCCACAACGGCATGCAGTCAGCCTCCCACATCCTCCTCTCCGGCTGCTCTGCTCTTTACCTCTCCAATCCTCTCCGCTTCTCTGCTCTCCACCTCTCCACTCCTCTCCGCTGCTCTGCCGGCGGCCTGGCAGCCCCCCACCTGTGCGATCGCCTTGCCTCGCTTCCAACTCTCACTTGCCACTCTCCTTGTCTGCCTGTCTGCTTGCCCGCCTCGTACCTGCAGGCAGCCAAGCCCCAGCTGTACCAACGTGGTCTCCGTGTCTTCCATGCCATAGTCTCACACCTCCTAGCCCACAACGGCATGTAGTCAGCCTCCCACATCCTCCTCTCCGGCTGCTCTGCTCTTTACCTCTCCACTCCCCACCTCCAGGCAGGCAAGCCCCAGCTATACCAACGTGGTCTCCGTGTCTTCACCGCCATAGTCTCACATCTCCTAACCCACAACGGCATGCAGTCAGCCTCCCACGTGCTCCTCTCCGGCTGCTCTGCCGGCGGCCTGGCAGCGCTCCACCTGTGCGATCCCCTTGCTGAGAGAATGAGACGGGAGGGGGGGGAGGGCGGGGAGGGCAGGGAGGGGGGGAAGGGGGGAGGGCGGGAAAGAGGAGGGGTGGTGGTGAAGTGTATGTCGGATGGCGGGTTCTTCCTGGATGCTAAAGATATCGGAGGGACTTACCTGCTGAGGGACACCACGTTTCGTCCGGTTACCACGTTACACGTGAGTTGCTGGAGTTCCCATGCTGCGTGTGTGGTGAATGTAAAGTGTGGATGGAGGGGGGAAAGAGGAGGGGTGGTGGTGAAGTGTATGTCGGTCGGGTGGAGGGTTCTTCCTGGACGCGAAGGGCATCAGAGGGACGTACCTGTTGTGGGACACCACCTTTTGCCTGGTTACCACGTTGCATGTGAGCTCAACAAGGTACCTTGTTGTTGCCATGCTATATGGTTCCGTTTTACATGTGAGCTAAGGAGCTTGACTGGTTATCATGTCTTTTGAATCGACTCAAAACGAGGTGACTTTTGAGTCGACTCAAAAGTCATGTCTTTTACTGGGTACCGTTTTTCATGCGAGCTCCATTAGCTGATTCTTGTCCTCCCTTCCCACCGCATCTAGTAATGTTTCTTAGAGTTCTTGCCCTCCGTTCCTGCAGTGTATCTAGTTTTTTTTTTTTTTTTTTTTTTTTTTTTCCAGCCCAAAATGCTCCATTCGTCCGCACGCCCCACGTTCTCTCATTTCTCCCCTTTCCCCGCCTCCTCTTCCTACAGAACGCCACACTCAGACCTCACTGCTTGGCGTCTCGGCCATCGGATAGACATGATCAAATGCGATTGCGATTTAAATCGCATCGCACAGGGGTGCGATTTAAAATCGCATCGCGCGATTTAATTTCATGAAATTTTTAAATCTCACATCGCATTTTGGGCACGATGTTTATTTAATCCGCATACGATGTTTATTTAAATCGCGCGATGCGATTTAAAACCGCATCGCATTTTACTTCAATTAAAAAACACCTCAGCAAACCGGATAAAAAAAACCAACAACCATGGGAATTTGGATCAAGGGCAGTCGTGGGCGGTAGTTTAGATAAATAATTCGGTTCAGTATTGGGTTTAAGACAGGTGCGAGCCCCCGTGGTATTTCGAAATCGCGCGCGATTGAAAAAAATCGCAAATCGCATTTTAATCGCGATTTTCAGCGCGATTCAAACGCGATTTAAATTAAATCGCGAGATAAAAAAACATCGCATCACGTGATGAATACAAATTTAAATTAAAAAAAAAAAAAAAAAAAAAAAAAAAAAAAAAAAAAAAAAAACACATCGCAATCGCAAAAACGTGATTAAAAGCGATGCGATGCGATTTAATCTGCCCATGTCTACCATCGGACCAAAGCTGTGCCTTTTCCCGGAGAACGCCCTTCCGTTCGTCTGCACGCCCTACTTCGTCCTCAACTCGCTCCCGCCCCTCCTTTCCCTCCTTTCTCTCCTCTCCCTGCAGAATGTCACATTGAACCCTCACTGCCTGGCATCTCGACCGTCAGACCAAAGCTGGCAGTGCTTCTTCCCGGAGCACGCGCTTCCGTTCGTCCGCACGCCCTACTTCGTTCTCAATTCGCTGTACGACTCATGGCAGGTATAAGCCCTTCAATCCTGCAGCTCCAAAATGTGAATGAATGCAAGCCTACCCTCGGCTCGTCCCCTCATCCCCCAAAAGTTTTATTCGTATCGTGTGCCCTTTTGAGGCAACTCAAAAGTCGTTTCTTCGTATCGTGTGCCCTCGGCTCGTCCCCTCATCCCCCTCAAAAGTCGTTTCTTCGTATCGTGTGTCCTTACAAAGTTTTGGGGGATGAGGGGACGAGCCAAGGGTAGGCTTGTATCGTGTCGATACATACCCTTCCATTCCTTTGCAACCTTCCCAGTCTTCTCTAGAAAATTCTCTCTACACAATTGCTTTTGAGTCAACTCAAAAGTCGCCTCGTTTTGAGTCGACTCAAAGGTCACCTCGCTTTGAGTCAACTCCAAATTCTACACACGATTACATCCTTCCTTTTCCCACCATCTCTCAGCTGCTCTATTTCCCCTTTTTAAGTCGAGTCAAACGACATACATCGTGATAGTGAGTGAGTCGACTCAGTTGTCTTTTGAGTCCAATCAGATTTCTTCTCTCTCTGCATAAAACCTTCCTTCTCCCACCACCTCTCAACCTGTTTTTGAGGCCACCTCTCAACCTGTTTTTGAGGCCACCATCTCCTTCACTGCCATTCCTTTGCATTAGCCCTTCCCTCAAGACCCCTTAGTCTGCATGGATTCTCCCTAACCACCGTCTCTCTCCCCCCTCTCCCCCCCTCTCCCCCCCTCTCCCCCCCTCTCCCTCCCTCTCCCCCCTACCCCCATTCCCCCCCCCCTCATCCCCAGATCGCGCACTCCTTTGTGTCCTTCACTGTCTTCCCAGACAACGTGTGGCATGCGTGTCGCATGACCCTGCAGGGCTGCGATCAGGACAAGCTCGATAAGATACATGGTAAGGGCTGTTTTGTTTGGAGTGGGATCTAGTCTGGGTCACCTTGCTATGCGTGCCACAGTTGTCGCACGTGACATGTCTCTACAGGGCTGCAACAAGGGCAAGCTCGATAAGATACATGGTAAATATGGGTGACTTGTAGTGTAATTCGAGTCTCCTTGGTGTTTAAGGCATGCCTGTCGTATGTCGCTGCAAGGCTGCGACACGGACAAGATGGATAAGATACATGGTGAGGGTGGCCCAGTGCTTGCCTGATGCGAGCCTCCCTGGTGATTGTTGCATGCCTGTCGCACTGACAGATTGCAGGGCTGCGATTAGGACAAGATCGATAAGATACATGGTGAGGGTGGCTCAGTGTGCGTGATGATCGAAGGGCTGCGATAAGGAAAATCTCGAAAGATACACGTTTAGAACTGATTCAACAAGACACTCGGAAAGAAATGACTCGTCAAGATACGCAGTACGAACCGACTCGACAAGACACATGGTAAGAAAACACCCGCCAAGTCTGAACATTTTGAACTGACCCGACAAGATACACTGACTTGAGTCAGCTCTCTCTCTTTCTCCCCCCCTTCCGTTGTCTGTGCCGCTGCTCCCAACCAGCTTTTGAGTCGACTCAAAAGCTCTCTCTCCCTTCCCCCCCCGCTCTTCCTCTCCCCCCCCCCCAACTCTGTCTGTACCGCCATTCTAGCCTATCGTGACGAGATGGTTGGTAAGATCTCCAACCTGCTGTCGTCCAATCAGAGCGCTGCAGCTGTCCGTCGGCGGCTTGTCGCGCAAGTTGGAGGGAGTCGGGTGGGGAAAGTTGGAGGAATTCGGGCGGGGGAAGTTGGAGGGATTCGGGCAGGGGAAGTTGGAGGAATTCGGGCGGGGGCAGACGAGCTAAACACAGAGCAGCAAGAGCAGCAACATATACAGCAGCAAGATTTCAAGGGACAGCAGGGGCAGAATAATACCAAGCACCAGCAGCAGCAGCAGCAGCAGCAGCAGCAGCAGCAGCAGCAGCAGCAGCAGCAGCAGCAGCAGCAGCAGCAGCAGCAGCAGCAGCAACTACATCGACAGCAAAGGCGTGAGCTAGCTGAAGTGACTACATTGAGTGTGACTTCGTCGAATGGGGCGTACCTCATTTCGTGCCGAGCTCACTGCATGGTGAGGAGAGAGAGGGAGGCACGAGGTGAAAGAGAGGAAGGCACGAGCTGAAAGAGAGGGAGGCACGAGGTGAAAGAGAGGGAGGCACGAGCTGAGAGAGAGGGAGGCACGAGGTGAAAGAGAGGGAGGCACGAGCTGCAAGAGAGGGAGGCACGAGCTGCAAGAGAGGGAGGCACGAGCGTTGATTGTGTGAAGGCCAAAGAAGCTGACATCTCTGAGATCATCAGCTGCTTAGTCATCTCGCCACTGCTTGAGATCATTGAGATATCCAAGTAGGCATTGCATGGTGAGGAAAGAGAGGAGAGATGCACGAGCTTGGGTTATTCGAACGCCATAGAATCTCTGAGATCATCAGCTGGGTATTCATCTCGCCACTGCTCGAGATCATTTTTGAGGAAAAAGGACTCACCACCTGCGTATTTAAGAAGTCCAATCATACGTGGGAGTCTATTTTTTAGGCGCCTCAAGAATAGATCTCGCCATTGGCTGAGATCTCTGAGATGTTTAAGAAGTCCAATCGTGCTTTTCAGTAGTGTGGCAGCTTTGGGACCCTCGTCTCAAAACTAACCCACTTAACCGCCGATTGATCTCGCCACTGCCCGAGATCTCTGAGATGTCTAAGTCGTCCAATCGTGCGTTTCAGTGGTGGCAGCAGGAGCTGCAGTGGGTAAGCGCAGTGCGCAGTGGCAGCTTTGGGACGTCTCAAAACTAACCTACTTAACCACCGATTGATCTCGCCATTGCCAGAGATCTCTGAGATGTCTAAGTCGTCCAGTCGTGCGTTTCAGTGGTGGCAGCCGCAGGATCCAATTTTTTAGGCGCCTCAAAAATAGACTCCTCACGTTTCAGTGGTGGCTGCAGCAGGATCTGCAGTGGGAAAGTACAGTCCGCAGTGGCAGCACCAGATGCTGCTGCCAGGCAGCCCCTCCCAGACCTGATGCAGATGCAGATGCAGATGCAGATGCTGATGCCAGAAACCCCCCCGGCTGCAGTGGGAAAGCGCAGTGCGCATTGGCAGCACCAGATGCGGCTGATACCAGGCAGCCCCTCCCAGCCCTCGTTTGAGTCCACTCAAAGTGACTTTAGAGTCGGCTCAAAGTGACTTTAGAGTCGGCTCAAAGTGACTTTTGAGTCGGCTCAAAGTGACTTTGATTCGGCTCAAAGTGACTTTTGATTGGGCTCAAATTTACTTTTGAGTCGGCTCAAAGTGACTTTTGAGTCTACTCAAATGCCAGGCAACCCCTCCCAGACATTCATACGAATCATACCCCCCCCCCACCCCCCAGCCCATCCACTTATGCTTACGTTTCCTTCCAAGCCCATTCTCACCCAGGCTCCAGGTGGGTGTGAAACCTCCGTGCCGATCGAGACCTCCCCCCATTTCGATGCACTTATGCTGACGTTTCCTTCCGAGCAATTGCTCACTCAGTCTCCAGGGATGAAGTCAATGCACGAAACCCCCATACCAACCATCCCCCCCCCGCATCCCCTCTCCTTTCGAGTCATTCCTCACCCAGTCTCCAGGGATGAAGTCAATGCGTGAAACCTCCAGACATGCCCCCCCTGTGATAGGAGTCTAGTTTTGAGGAGCTTACCTCCAAACTAACCTCCAGGCATGCCCCCCCCTCTCTCTCTGTGTCTCCCCCATATGTGTGACCTCCCTCCTATGCGTGCAGGCCATGGGCCCCATGTGGCATGGCAGCACGGCTCCAAGAATACAGAACAAGGTACTGCTTACTTACAGAGCAAGGCCATGTTCTTCCTGATCCTTCATTTGCCATCGCCTCGTGCCATCATCCCTTCCTTCACCTCCTCAACTCCCCCCTCTGCCCCTCTTCCCCTTCGTCCTCTTCCCAATGCTCCACCGACCATGGCAGAGGCAGTGGGAGACTGGTGCTCTGATGACCCACTGAGTTGCTGAAAACCCACTTCCCCTTTCAATACCGGTGTGTGCCTACTTCTTACCCTCTACCCCATGCCCCGCAGACCATGGCAGAGGCAGTGGGAGACTGGTTCTTTGAACGACAGAGAGTCAATCTGGTCGACTGCAAACACCCATGTAACCCCACATGCTGATGACTTAGTATTTTCAGGACTGTTATATTAGGGCGCATTCCTACAAAGTAGGATCAGAATCAACAATGTTTCTGAACCTGCCGTTTTACAACCAGCAGTTCAGCAATCCTGTAAATCTGTCGCTTGCTAGTTTAGGCGACGCCACTGCCAGCCCCGCACGATCCTACGTGTACACCCCCCGCGACCAGAGCCACAAAACAAAACATCGCATCGACCGTTAAAGTAAGAACTGAATAATGAACTGGAGGTAGAAACCTAGAACAACTACTAGTTGGTTGTACTCACTAAAAGCATACCTCAGTCTAGCCTATAACTTGTACACAACTAACATGTATAAGTTGACACACCCCCTAGGCTAGACAAGGGGTGAAGCTAAGCAAGAAACAAACAGCTCAGGGTGGCACTACTAGTCCAACCACTGAGGCAGGGGTCTGGAGACCAGTCAGCAAGGGTACAAACAAGACTAAAACAAGCCAGGGCGGCACTACTAGTCCAGCCACTGGAGGTAAGGCCACAAGGCCAGTCTGACAGGTATATATAATAGAGAGTACACAATCAGGATCCTAACAGGTGAGTAGCTACAGGAACAAGACCAAGCTGTACACAAATCTTTAGGCGCAAGCGCCTTAGTAAAGATATTAGCTGTATTGGCACCTGAGACCAAGTGAACTACGCGGGCCTGGCGGCGCTGCTGTAGCTCGCGCAGGAGGAAGTACCGCAGCTGGATATGCTTTGCTCTGCCCTCAAGCCGAGGCTCCTGACACAGGAGTATCACGGCCCTGTTGTCAGCGTACATGACCGGGGCAGAGCTAGGCCGCTCACCTAAGTCTGTGAGCAAGAAGGACAGCCAGCGGAGCTCCTGTGCCGCCATGGCACCAGCGTAGATCTCAGCCTCACAGCTGGACTGAGCCACAGACGACGAGCGAGTGGATCTCCAAGAGATAACACCCGAACCAAGGCTAAAGCAGTAGCCCTGCGACGACCTGAGCGTCTCAGAGTCGTCTGCCCAAGAAGCGTCTGTGTGTCCAGTAAGGACCACTGGCCTGCGTCCTCCTAGCACTAACCCCATGCCCGATGTACTAGCAAGATAACGCAAAACCCTCTTAGCGGCCGACCAGTGCTATGGTCGGTGTCTGCCTGTAGCCACAAAGCGAGCCAAGATGCTGAGAGGGTATGCGAGATCTGGGCGAGTGCAAGTCATCAGGTACATGAGGCAACCCACCAGCTCTGCGTAGGGGCCACTGGGCTCTACGGGCTCCTCAGGAACTGGAGCGGAGAGCCCATGGTCTACAGGTAGAGGTGTGGGCTGTGCGGAGGAGAACCGAAGACCGAACCTCTGAAGGACCTCACGCACCAGGTGTGACTGTGTCAGAGTGATGGTGCGCGCTGCTCTGTCCCTAGAGATCTGCAGGCCAAGTTAGCGATGCAGCTCTCCAAGGTTAGTGCAGGTGTGTCTCTTCAGCAGCTCGGCCTTCATAGAGGCCAGTGCGTCCCTCTCAGCAGTAGCAAAGACCAGGTCGTCTACGTAGACAAGGATGTAGAACGGAGTCTGGCCGGAACGCACAAACAGCGAGAGGTCAGCAGAGGACGGAAAGAACTGCAGGTCTGCTAACGTGGCCCGCAGCGTGTCGTGCCACTCGCGAGGAGCCTGACGCAGGCCGTAGACCGGGCGCCTGAGAAGCCACTGGGTCCCAGGGGGGAAGGTACCAGTGAAAGTCCTGTGGTCGACGCAGGTAGACCTGCTCATGTAGGCTGCCCTGAAGAAAGGCAGTAGAGAAGTCGAGGGAGTGAAGCTCGTATTCGCGCTGTGCTGCTACGTGTAGCAGCGCCCGAAGAGTGGTCATCTTCGGGGTCGGGACGAAGGTCTGGAAGAAGTCCACCCCCTCGCGCTGACTGAAGCCTCTGGCCACGTAGCGCGCCTTGAAGACAGGCGGCTCTCCAGGGGGGCGCTTCACCTTGAAGAGCCACCAACCATCGACTACGTTCACCCCAGGCGGGGGAATTGCGTCGACATAAGTGCCGGTGGACCTCCAAGATGCCATCTCCTGCTCCATGGCAGCTATCCACTGAGAGGCCCAAGGTCCCGAGGTAGCCTCAGCGTAGGTGCGAGGGGTCGGATGTTGAAGGCGTCTGGATCACCCTCAGGGACTAACAGCATGGAGCAAAGATGGGGAGCAGCCTCAGAGAGGAAAGCAAGCTCGTACTGCCTGTCCTCTAGGACGTCACTGCCAAGGGTGGACCGCAGCAGCCGTCTCAGTGAGAGGGGTCGCCGTGGCGACTGCAGCCGAAACGTCAGTGAACGTGCACTGGGAGGGGGCACAGCCGTGAAAGATAGAGACTGGCGAGTCTCGATCTCGTTGAGGGTATCGACAAAGACGGTGAGGGTGAGGTCACCCGGGTGCTGGCTAAGGAAGTGATCGCGAGCACTAGCGAGGCGGTCTGGCAGGCGCATGGCGATAAAATAGAGCGTCATGCAGAAAGGGGGTGGGAGCGCAGTGAGCTGGGCAGCAGTGCTGGCAGTGCGATAGCGGGCCTCTAGTGCACGCAGGTGAGTGGCAAAGTCTGCGACTGTAGGGAAGGCTGCAAGGTCTGGGAAAAGCATAGGGAAGAGCAGGCGGCCAGCAGAAGCAGACGCAGGTGTGGAATAGCGAGCAATAACGGCGTCTAAGTAAGCTTTGGCCGTCTCAATAGTAGCAAAGCGCGAGCGCTCAGACACAGGGAGGGCGTGGCTAATAGCAACCTGAGCGACTGCATCGCGAGAGTCCCAGACCGCACGGGCAAGCGCAGCAGTAGAGAAGGTCTCACGGTCATCAGAGGAGGAGTCAGCAGGGAGGGGAGCAGGTGGACAACCAAAGAGTGGCCATCCTGGCGCTGACCTGTAAGGTGGCGGTGGAGATCGGAGAGCAAGGCGGCGAAGTCAACCGCATGGCCCTCAGCGTCCAGGCGGAGCACGAAGTTGGCCATCGTGCAGGGTCAGCGGCATGGCTACACAGCTCCGCAAGAACACAGCGACGCAGGGACACGGCGGCGGCACTCTCCAGCACGGCAGCCGCGAGACGCCCCAGCGCCGGCGAGCAGAGTAGACGGAGCCCGAGGTGGCACGGCAGGCCGAGCAGGCACGAAGAGGGGCCAGGCGAGTAGTGGGAGAGGCCAAAGAGACGCGGCGGGGCCAGGCAGGTGCGGGAGGGCCAGGCAGGCGCGGCGGGGCCAGGCAGGCTCGGCAGGGCCAGGGAGGCGCGGCCGGGCCAAAGAGGCGTGGCGGGGCCAGGCAGGCGCCGTGGGGCCAGGCAGGCGCGGCGGGTCCAGGCAGGCGCGACAGGTGTCAGGCAGGCGCGGCGGAGCCAGAGAGTCGCGGCTGGGCCAGGCGAGCGCGACGAGGCCAGGCAGGCGCGGCAGGGCCAGGCAGGCGCGGCGGGGCCAGGGAGGCGCGGCGGGGCCTAGCAGGGCGGGGCCTGGCAGGCGCGGCAGGGGCCAGGCAGGCGCGGCGGGGCCAGGGAGGCGCGGCGGGGTCAGGCAGGCGCGGCGGGGCCAGGCAGGCGCGGCGGGGCCAGGGAGGCGCGGCGGGGCCAGGCAGACGCGACGGGGCCAGGCGGGCGCAACGGGGCCAAGCGGGCGCGGCGGGGCCAGGCAGGGCGAGGCGGGGCCAGGCAGGCGCGACGGGGCCAGGCAGGCGCGATGGGGCCAAGCGGGCGCGGCAGGGCCAGGCAGGGCGCGACGGGACCTAGCAGGCGCGACAGGGCCCAGGAGGGGCGTGACGGGGCGAGGAGGCGCGACGGGGCCCAGAAGGGGCGCGACGGAACTAGGGGGGGCGCGACGGGGCCCTAGAGGGGCGTGACGGGGCTAGGGGCGCGACGGGGCCCAGGAGGGTCGCGACGGGGCTAGGAGGTGCGACAAGGCCCAGGAGGGGCATGACGGGGCCCAGGGGGGGGGGGCGCGACGGGGCTAGGAGGCACGGCAGGGCCCAGGAGGGGCGCAATGGGGCTAGGAAGCGCGACGATGCCTAGGAGGCACGACGGGGCCTAGGATGCACGACGGGGCCCAGGAGGGGCGCGACGGGGCTAGGAGGCGCGGCGGGGCCCAGGAGGGGCACGACAAGGCTAGGAGGCACTACGGGGCCCAGGAGGGGCGCAACGGGGCTAGGAGGCGCGACGGGCTAGGAGGCGCGACGAGGCCCAGGAGGGGCGCGACGGGGCTAGGAGGCGCGATGGGGCCTAGGAGGGGCGCGACGGGGCCAGGCGGGCGCGACGGGGCCAGGCGGGCGCGACGGGGCCAGGCAGGGCGCGACGGGGCCTAGCGGGCGTGACGGGGCCTAGGAGGCACGACGGGGCCCAGGAGGGGCGCGACGGGGCTAGGAGGCGCGACGGGGCTAGGAGGCGCGACGGGGCTAGGAGGAAGCGGCGGGGCCTAGCTAGGGTACGGGCGGAAGCGGTAGGTGGGGGATACTAACCTACGCATGATACCATGTTAAAGTAAGAACTGAATAATGAACTAGAGGTAGAAACCTAGAACAAATACTAGTTGGTTGTACTCACTAAAAGCATACCTCAGTCTAGCCTATAACTTGTACACAACTAAGATGTATAAGTTGACATCGACTGCCCAGCGACGAACATGTCAGTTTAGAGTCAAACCAAACTCGCCGGGCCAAAAAAAATGTGGGCAAATGCATGTGCCACTCACGAGCTTGGGCTTTCTCTCCCCGTCCTCCATCGGAAACAGAAACGCAAAGGAGCACCCCACACAGGGGGGGCATCAAGTGCTTTCACAATTCCGCAGCGATCGAGCCTACTCAATAGCCCGCATTCGACAGCAGCCGCGCTCAAAGTTTAACCACTCAGCAACCAGAAATGGAGCCCAACGAGGGTTTGCCGTTCATCGCGCACTTGCTAATAGCCTTTTTTGTTCCGAATCAATCGTGAAATTCTCGACCACATCGTAGAAGGCATGGAGCATATTATTCGACCATACATAGTTCGTGTGTGAATTCCCCCGTCCATCACAATATTGATACCCATCAAATATTTCGCCACAGCTATGACTTTCTTGGACCTCGCCATGTGGTTCGGTGTGACCAAAACACTGTGCCACCTCTGTGACGTGTTCCTAATGAATTTCCCCGAGTCTTCAAAAAGGAATGGGTCATGTTCCCCACCAGAGCGGAGATGGCTACAATGGCCGAGGAATTCAAGAGCGTGAAGGGTATTCCGTGCGTCATA